AAACGGCCAAAAAGACACCAAGTAGCACTATAAACTATTTACAAAGGATATAAAATCAAAACTAGTGAGCACTTATCTTGAACCAAGGTAAAAAATAGCAGTTTTTGCGGAGCTCGATGTAGGCACGTTCTGAGGAAACAACATACATACATACATAAACGATATGTTTTATTTTCTAAATAGTCACCACTCCGTGGCTTTAATTATAAACTGACACATATAAAATATTTACAAATTAAATAGTACTCAAACATAGATTCTTTCATACATTTCAAATATCTTTATATTTGATTGAAATCGAACATTGTAAATTGTATTTACTTGATCATTAATGTTATCAATTACAAAAGTTAGTTTATTATTGATTTGTTATATGTTTCTAATCAATATTGTGACATAGTTGTGTCCTCATCAGATATTCTTATTCCCACATAAGTTTTAAAGTTTCGTCCATTGGATGCCCCATGCTGTTAACAGCGAGTACCTAGAAACAAAATGAACCAAAACATTTCCATTAACCTCATTTGGTCAAGACCAATAAAAATCAGGTTTACTCATTTGTAACAATCACATTTGTGACAATAGTATATATATAGATTGTAATATTCCTTGCGGATGACCTCTCAAAGTATTTCTGGTACTCCTTGGCGGGGGGGGGGGATTGCTGCCCTATAACACTAATGATCTAAATATTGCACGTCACATTGTGGGATGTTAAACTTTTTATTGATTTCTAATGACAAATGCTTACATTTTGGTGGCGAAATGTTATAAAATTATCACATCATTTACAATGAATCGTACCCGGATGTGTGACCTACTAGAGGTCATGCTGGAGGTTACAAATTATATTTTGAGAGGCATAATAGAGCATATATAGAACAAGCATCCCATCTCGATTACTTGTAATTTCAAATGTACCCGTTTGGGCATTCGTCCATCCGCATCTGTATCACAGACAAGCTTACACTGGATACATCCAAACGTACTACGGAAATCACGTATCTTAATATACATATTTGTTTCGATATATTTCCTCCAATCTGGAGCCGGATCTCGGTTGTGTATGGACGGATTTCATTCAAACTTTGGATGTTTATTGAACATATTTGGTTCTTGGGCCACATAATTGTTTTTCAAAATTCATCTCTTACAAATACACCATACATCAGGTCACATAAACATGTATTTGTTTCATGGCGACCATTTTAGTGCTAAAAATCATCAAAATCTGGCAATTGTGCCATTTTGGAACCGGAATGCACAAATGCTTTTCCATTGCCCTATCTTTAACATATCTTGACCGATCACACTTAAACTTCAATGTTATATAAGTATTCCAGTTATTCCTGAACTGGACCCTGCTTGTGTCTAGACATATACATTCATTAATTGATTGACAGGACCTAGGTGCATATAGTTTTTTTTTATTGTTTTCTTTCACACACTGTCTACCCTTCTTTGCGATGTATGGTGTTCATAGAGAAAGCAACAACGAGGACTGTGGCCCTCTCAATGATTATTTTACTACGTTTTCCGCAAATCAACATTTAATATTCAACTACAGTTAGAACAACTTACATTAAGTGTAGCATCCACACTCCAATTATCTATATTTAGCTCTACACCATTCAAAAGCACTCTGGTAATGTCGGTATTCTCCAAACCATAAACATAAACATCATCTAAAACTAGGGGATCCATGACGTAAGCATTCATCATTATAATACTATTGACTTGGTTCTGTAAATAGATTAATTGACGCTATGTTGAATGACGTTTCTCTTTATGAATGACGTTTCTTCTTATTGCATTTTGTTGTTTCCGTTTCGAATTGTTGAAACTTTTTTTAAAAGTATGCCTGAACATGCCAAAGTACAGTCTATTCAAGAAATATTACGTAACCTTGGATACTTACACTTGTAGCGGTAAATTGTTCCAAAAAGTAATCATTTGATTCGATACTGTCTGCAAAAAATAATATTTACATTCCATAATCTCGCTCTTTGATGCATTACATTTGATATTAACCTTAAAGAACATATATCATTCTTTTGTACATTCATTTCTGTGAATGATTCAACACGGATCATTATGTCACGTGTAGCACATTCATTTTTGCACTACTGTACACGTTGCTCTATGTCTAAATGTAGCTTTCCCTTGTATATTACTTTTGTTAAATGCCCGCTGTACTTTGTTGAAATCCCTGTACGACTATGGATTTGGGATTAATCAATGGATATCTCAGTGCTCCTCATTTGACATGGTTTTGAAATAGCTGGTCAATTGTGGTGAAAAACGTTTGTAAACAATGTAGCGAGGATTTATAGGTCATTTTATGAAAAACTAAAAGACAATATGGAATACTGGTAATAACAGTAGAATATAAACATACCAATGGTATCTCCTTCATCCCAGAATAGTGAACCAGAAGCAGTATATGTGTCATCAAGTGATACAATAAGACCCATCGGTAGTTGCCGACTGTGGGAAAAGTACAAAAGCTTGCTTTCTACGACCACCACATACATATTCTCGGAGACAATGTAAATTCAATTGTATTGAATATGTTGTACAAATGTGTCAATAGATAGGAATTCACTGTTCGATTCAGTCTGGAGTATATATTACTAATTTAAAATCATACAGGAGAGATTTGCAGGAAGAGGAAGCAACAACGTTCCTTTTACGAATATATGAAATCATTTAAGCGATTTCTTTAACAGATAAATTCTCAACGAAACTTTACATAGAAATGTACAGACCCTAAAGTCGTGTATATTGCTAAACAGCTCAACCGGCAACCAGTTTCGTGCCACTATTTTGTTTACAGTGATTTTAATGTGTTCAAAATTGTTTCATTTGAAACTGCGCATGTGATTTTCCGGTAACTAGTCACTGGTCACTAGTCATTCGATCGAAGCTCGATTCGGGCGATGGTCACTGGTGAATGTTATTTAAAATAGTGTGAACAATGTTGATAGCAATGGTACTAGAGTGAAATATCAACGTGCCCCATCATTCTTTATGAATTCCATCACTTACTATGATCACATTGAAGAAAAAAAAAATGCTTTTACTTTCAAGAGTTGTACTCTGCACTCAGATTCGTGACGCATTTTACCACAGTTTTACTAAAAATTGGATATTGTTTCATTGCCATAAATAGCGAATCTTGTCATGCAAATTTCCCCTGAAATTATGTAACTATATTCACTGCGAAATTGGTCGGGAACGATTGCCACACAGGAGGGTGGGGGAGGGTTGCATTTCTCTCAATTTCCACATCTCTGCAAACAAATAAATATTTTGCATATGTTTTAATGATACTCACCTTATTACGGTAGTATTGGCTGGTTGTTGTGTTGGTATAATGTAACCACCTCTTACATGCAACGGTATATAGTCAAGGGGTGCGTTCAATGTGGTGTATTTGCCACGAGTTGGTACTTCAGCTCCCTAATGAAAAGAGATTCGTGCATACTTTAATCCACAAACACAGTAACGACTCGTCTCTCTCTCTCGGTGGGCCAGCACGAATGAAAGTACCAAGAAACGCAAGTAATCCATTTAAATGTTTTATGTTTATCGATAGTACTTACAGTATAGTAGTCGAACCATCGCGCATCTGTCATGTAGGCCTCGACAGTTACCGCCCCCTATAACAAAACATATGCTGCTACTTTAAGTTAATTGATACTGTAGAAATATTGGTTTTCACCGAAGTGTGTTACCATGGTGTAACTATGTTTAGTTTACGCTGTAATGAGACGTAGAAATGTCACTCACTTCGTCCAACACTGGTGAAATCAATAATGCAGGTCCCCATAGAAATTGTCTGTCAATCGTCCTAGTCATTAGGTCACTGGTAAATCTAAAAAAAAAATAATTGTATATAATAACAAAATGTGCTTAAATATTCTCCCTCAAACATTGTGCTAGACAGATACTAACTCGACTAGTTAGTTATTTTTAATTGTGCATAATGATAATGGATAATGCGAATCTCTGCATATTTATTAGATAAAATGCAGAATTCGCAAGTATTCGAGTCTTGTTTAATATCGGTTGATACTTACTCTTGCATGAGTGGTCTGACTACAGTTTCGCCTTGTTGATTTGCCAGAAAAAACAACGTGTACAAATATGGCAGCAAAGTGTATCGCACGTGCAACACGTCTCTTGCATAACTGGCAAATTCCGGTCCAAATGCAGCTGGGTCTTGAGGCTGGTAAATCAAACGGCATAATGTAAACAGATAAAATCATTATCGCAGATCAGCGCGTTGTGGCGTCAATATTAGTAATACATGTACTTGTATTAGGATGCACGTATCGTGCCTCTAAAAAAACTTCAAAGCACATTATAAACATACATCAATTCTTGGCAAAATAAATCTCATCTTATGAACAAGCATTGTGCAGTTATGTAAAATTCATATAACAATACAAGTCACCATTCAGAAACAAATCTCAAGTAAAAATAAAGTCGTCTATACGTACAATATTTCCAAGACTGTTATGGTTACGGGCATATGGATAGAATGCACCTAACTGTGTCCAACGTAGACATAATTCTTCTGTGGTATCTTCAAAGAATCCACATATGTCTGCACCGATCTGAAACACCAAGGTATCGTTCTATGTTACTATATTACTACACCCCCTCACGCATCCACCCACTGTACTCACATTTTTAAAAAGAAATTAGTAATTCTATTGATGACCTAAAAAAATGCTGACCTTATTAGAATAATCTCACATAAATATATACTTCCATTTTTATTCTATCTCAGGGAAAATGTATGTGGTCTCAAGCGTTGAAAAATAATATCCCTGCCAAACTGTCCACACCACAACTGAATCAAACGTGTACGGCTAATGTTGAAAACAACGTCTTACTAGTATATGAACGTTGCAACTTACGTACTTTCATGGAAAGTATACTTACGTACGGCACACCAAACAAGTTAAATTCCAACATGCCTATAATGAAAGAAATCAGTTTTAAAGCGGGAG